GGCCGCAGGAAACCCTCCGGCTGTCTCACAAACACAAGACAATGACGAAAAATGGTGGTAATCCCATATTCTCATTTACTTTGCTTATTCATTATTAAAGATTTAATGACATAGTTATAGGACACGGCAATTTAACCTGATTATGGAGCAGATTTACCTCCTATTGGACAGGAGACGTCCCCAAAAACTGAAGAGGAGTTAGATACTGCAGTAAGCCAAAAAGTTGGCCTATAAAAGAGAAATATCAGCATGCGACGTTAAGGCTTGATAGCACTTGAGATATTACTTAGTAGCGTTACGCTAAACCAGGACATGACAGCCTGATGGATAGAAATGCGAGGGCGGAAATCGAGGCAAGCCCTGCTGTGCCCGGGTCTTAAAAACATGCACTTACCCTGAATAGTCAGTATTACAAACATTCAGCTACATTACGCATTACAAGTAGTAGAAACATGAGCCGCAGAAATGTCAGTCTATATACGGCAAACTGCACGACAAAAGGGCATGGTAGAACTTATAAATCTAGTTACAAACGCTTTAATATTATCTTAATGCTAACCACTAGTTCCTCACATAGATTGAGAGTGCATACTGGGTGCGACTCTTAAAATAAGCACACGCAGGCAGTAATTATAGTATACTATCTACTGGCCTTAATAAGCATGATTGCTAGGAACTAGCATTTTTTAGCAATGGCACTTACTTATAGCAACAGTATCTTAGTCCGTACCTAGTAGAAACGGACGCAACTCGATGCATACAGCTGAGAGTGCGGAAACCAAGGTAAACGCTGCTGTGCTCAGGACCCAAGCATGTACTTACTCGAAATAGTTAAACCTACAGTCACACTCCTGGTTGAGACCAAGGGAATATGAGCCCTACCGTTGGTTTAATCAGCGTCACCTCTCACAAATGGTGTTGCCAGTGTTAGCACCAGTACTACTACATTTCTTGTTGAGATTGAGGGGATATGAGCCTAGTGCTGACTTTGATCAGCGTCAATTCTGACTTACAGTACAGTCAGTAATAATACCAGCAAAAATATCACTCAGCTACACCCTAGTTAGTAGTATTAGAAATAGCAGTAGTGGTAGTAGCAGTACCAACCCTGGCTTAATAGAGTCTAGCTCGACACCACGAAAAGCTAAGTTAGGCGGTGTTTCAGGCTGCATCTGCTGAAAGCGGCTTCCACCCGAAGCCTGCTTTGTTCATCTCGACTTCAGTCTTATCACCGGTCAAAACTGTTAGGGTTAGAGTAGGTAGGCAGTTGCGCGTCTATTTTACTATAATCTCGAACTTAGCTCCGTTAACGTCTCTGCTATCGAGTACATGGTGGACTTAATCGAAACCGATGGTCATATCTACGGTCAATCTGCAAACGTTTGTGAAGTATTACGAGATGCTAGTGATCCTAAGTTGCCAACAACTACTCACCACTGAGGTCATCCGTCTGCGAGTGGCTGGAGCAACTCAAGAACATTTTACTTGTCCCTCCAGATAGCTCAAATTTATATGAACCAGGAATATGTTTTGAACACTCTCTAAAATGATGACAAAGTCGGCTGTAAGGACCGCCAAACCGCACGATGTTGCTTTGGTGCCGTTAGGATCTAACAACCTACAAAATGCAGTGTGATAGATCACTTTAATCACTAAATCTACCTATTTGCCGTTAAACGATACATATAAGGGTAGTTTAGTATCACACTGCTGACCAAGACGTGATACCGCTGAAAATTAATGGTAAGTAATTGACAGGAGTAGAAAGTGTCAAATCGATTGAAGCGATAATACTGCCAAGTGGACAGGGTAAGGGCCATACTGTTATACGAATTTCTCAAGCGTACACTGCGTTTGCAGTCCTAATGACTCACTTGTGGATCCATCGCAATTTCTTCATCGTCTTAAAGACCCGTATATACCGGACGTTCATCCAGTGAGATTGTGAACGCTGAACTGTGCATGAAAGGCGAGAGAAGACTTGAGGCCCTGATGGCATTCGATCGCAAAAAGTAGCTCGGGTGAAATTCACCGGCCTCGACTTTAATGTAGCCGAGAGTACTGATTTGGTAATATCTGAAGGTCACATAAAGGTATCAAAACAAGGCGGCTAACAACGTTTGCAAACGTGTTCAGTTGTCTGTCCCATAAGTAAGTCGTTTATGTCCTACATTCCATCTGTCTAAGTGAAAAAAACGATGGGTTTAGATTAAAATCTGACTCGAAAGAGTTTTGTAAGACTCCGATGAGGTTCCAGGGCCTTCACTATTTCCAGATTTGTCGTTTTTGTTCATCCCGCATGAAACTTTATCAGTTGGCCAGTTTCGAAAACTGCAGTAGAAACGCACACTTTAGGTATTTTCAAAAATGGTTAAAAATATTTCCCGGACGGGAAAGGTGTTAAACGCATTAAATTATACGGATTTTCAAAAATATTGTAATCGAGTAACGGTTGTCTAAGTCAGGCGGCACAGACCTTGACTGGGATATTACATGCCTCGCGGTAAGGCTTGAAGGAAGAGGAACCTAGCTTAATATTTAAATACATAAATAGTAAGGCTGCAAAATGGAGATCGCGTACTTTGCTGATGAAAGCCCTTGCACTGTCACGAGTTCGCGGTGTGGGACTAACATAGACCTCCACGTCGGACGGTTGGTGAAAACTTTCAGGGATACGGTCGCGCCAACGGAGTCCAAGATCTTCCAATTCCCGTACACCAGTTGGCAATAGTTGCTTTGATTCCGAACCGCGGCAGTTGAAGGTGAATTTAAAATCAGATAATTCTTTGCTGCAAAGAGACAGAAATCAGACAAACATACACAAGCCTGACTCTAACGATGTCGGAGGGATTTTAAACCCAGGTAGACATTAAAAATGATTTGCGCATGGATCACGTAACCTACACACTGGGGGAGACGGAGTGACTTATTTGCTAGCACACCGTCGGCATAGGTGTCTTCCTTTGGCAAGTACGTGAACAATCAGGGCAACCGCTATCTAAAAAGGCAATTCTTCCTAATTTCATTTGCTAAAACTTCGAAAAGGTCATTTGGAAAACACGGTACCTCTAATGTCGATCTTTTAGAGAAAGGGTAAAAATACGCGTGTTCGGAAAAGTTCGTTTTATGTGAACGTCATCAAATATCTAACGGAATAATAATACATTAAAAACACTTCAGGATCTACACGACCCTCAGGTCTACTGGGATTTTTGTAAGGTCTCTGAAGAGACGTAGTAAAAGGTGGTCAAGAGTCTTACCGAGACTTAAAGCGTTCTGCCAACTTCTCCATCTGTTTTATAAACTTGTCGTCTGGTGATCTGGTTCCGTGCCGAAACAGCATATTCACATGCGCAAGGCGATCAGTTTTGTAAGGCTCTCGAGATGATGCTAGACCATTATTCACGTAGGCCGTTTTCGAGCCCATAGCATTGAGACTGTAACACTCTGTCAAATTGCTATCATAATATTTCCACCAACGCCACCAACACAAGAAGAGAGCGAGGAGCTTCAGAAGATATTTCCGCATGGCGATGCCTACAGGAGAAAAAATAACATTTCCTTGCGGGTAAAAGTATTTTAAAACCAACGGTAACAAACTATCGTGATTCCTCTGACCTTATATATGCAAACTGGTTTACAAAAAGAATCTTTTTTTCTTTTGTTTTGTAACAAACCTGCCAAACGCTCCGTCCAAGCAGTAAAGAAAGAACAGCGCATATTGCGGCCCAGAATGGCGAATTTTTTGCAAGAATCAGACCGAATGATACACCTTAATCAAGAGCCGTTCACTGGTAAACAAGGCACCTCGAAGAATGAGTTAAACCAATGAAACATATAAATGCACTAGAGTCAGCGATATTGACTTTTATGAAAGGATAAAAAGACAAAGGAGAAAAAATCTTTTCCCAAGTAGGGTACGGGGATGATTTGCGCGACATTGAATCGTCCCCCTGCAATTGAAGGTCAGAACGACGATGCAAACTTACTGGAGTGGCGATACTAATTTACATGTAGTCCATGCTCTCAGGCGCAGTCACCAAGCTCCTAACGCAGTACACTGCAATCAGCAAGGAAGAATAAGGTCGAAGTTTTCACACGGTGATGATCCTGGGAAACTTTGCCATGCCCCCCCCCGTTGGAATCCCCTCGCCCAAACAAAATCGGACGTTTTTTCTCTTTTTTCTCGTAAATCCCACACATTTCCCCACAAGAGCGACAGTTTTTCACCTAAAAATCTTTAAGGCATTTTTCCACTGTCTGCTCCTATTTTTCCATCCCATGACTCAGGACAACTGGCCTCGCCAACAGTCTAAGATACAATTTTTCTGCTACCACTACATATATGTACAAATAGGGAACTCAAAGGAAATTTACCTACATATCCGTCAATATACTGATACTTATAGGTTCTGCAGTCTTATGTTTACGAAAATTGGTCGACTAATGGGCGCCTATCAGCCCGAAATGCCCGAGCACTTATGATCACAAAATAATGAATAACAACGAGAGTCTTTACTGTCTGCTAAATTAATGGTGCCAGTCGACAGAATTTGCTAGTTGGCAGCTATTATCAGCCATCGTTCTACAAAACAATGGCATGCATATAACTACTGCGAAGTTATTGAGTGGACAGACACATTCTCAAAAACTACAGAATTTTGGACGAAGGCACCTCATTGAATTCCTCTATGAATTAGACGCCACTGACGACTAAAACGTTAATGCTACCTCTTTGGCTGCCAAGAGCAGTCGCCAGCCTACACCATACAGCGGCATGAAGACGTATATAACGAAAACAATAACCTGCACACGTCGGAATGGTGGACGAGTTGACTGTCTCGGTGCCACACAATGGCATGTTTTCTCAAAAGTTTAGCATACGCGGTGAAACTTGTGTGAGCTCAGCGGAAAATAAACGTTGTTTGTAGTCAGAAGTCACTTATGTAACCCTGCTGCTTTCCCGGTAGTCGAAGACTAAAAAGATAAGTAAACGGTGGTTGTTGGATTGTTTAGTTTAAAAAACTGTCCATGGCTGG